AGCAGTCAGCGGGGTTCCCTGCTGACAGCTGAATTTCACAAGAATTGTCGGCATTGCCCAACAATAAAAAAAAAAAAAAACACAGCGTGGGGTCCCCCCCATACATACCAAGCCCTTTGGGTCTAGTATGGATTTTGAGGGGAACCCCCTACACCAACATTTTTAAAAAAAAATGGCATGTGGTCCCCTAAAAGTCCATACCAAACCCTAGCCCGAGCATGCAGCCCGGCAGGCCAGGAAAGAGGGGGGGGACGAGTCAGCACCCCCCTAAATCATACCAGGCCATGTGCCCTCAACATGGGGGGTGCTTTGGGGCAGAGTGGGCAAAGCACCTTATCCCCATGTTGATGGGGACAAGGGCCTCTTACCCACAACCCTGGCTGATGGTTGTGGTGGTCTGTGGACAGGGGGCTTATTGAAATCTGGAAGCCCCCTTAAACAAGGAGGGCCCCAGATCCCACCCCCCCCTTGTGAATGAGTATACAGTATATAGATAACTCTTCCCATTCACAAGAAAAGTGTAGCGTAAAAAAAGACAGGAGACAGTCTTGGACAAGTCCTTTATTAAAAATGAAAAAAATGTCCCCTGAAGTAGATCCAATGACAATCATGATGCCCTTCGCGCCGCCACCGACCCAAAAAAAAAGAAAAAGAAATCCTCTGCACTGGCTCCTGCCATCTGACAGCTGCACCACGATGACAGTTCTTAAATAAGGTGATGACACCCCAATGGGCGAGATTGCCTTGCCCCTTGTAATGCCATCATGCTCTGTGATTAGCCAAAGCATTGCACCTGACCTGTGGCCCATCAAAATGCATTGTGCCCATCAAAATGCACTATGCAATGTCCATACCATTCATGTGTTCACCGAACACACAAACAGCCTATGTTCGAGTCAAATTTATGTTCGACTTGAACATGCAGCCCATCACTAGTACATATAATCTGACAGTCTGTAATACACTAGACAAAGGATGGACTACCAACCCATTCGAGTTTTGTCAGTAGCAGTGACCAACGCGTTTCGGAACCCAGGTTTCCTTCTTCAGGGAATAAATATGTCAGGTGTATTGTACTGCAACAAGTAATGCTTTAAAGATGATCACATGCCCACTAGGCGCCACATGTAAAGGAGATGCACTTAGGTACACCGCGCATCAATAAGGACCACACTGTGCTGGCCAAATGATGATAAGATGGAAATCAGTTGTTGTGGAGTGATTCCATAGTCTGCCAAACTGTGGTCATCCAAAGAGGACAAACAGCAATCCTTGCCATCGCTCTGAAAAGAGATCCACAGTGGATCACTTTCAGAGGGCATTTGACAGGTGCCTCTTTACCACCTGTTTTCACCCTAAAAAGGCTTTTCTGGGCAGTTGCGGCACAGTCCAATACACTTAAATGGGTCACGTTCAGCACCAGTGTTACCAGCAAATGCAGCATTTCATTTCATTTTTGGCACATCAGTGAAGCAAAGCATTACAGGCACAGTATGGATACAGAGCTTAGCAGCTGAATACCCTTTATTAGGTGGGTGGTTGGGGGGGCGGTAAAAACTGATTTCACGACTCCCGGTCACCCATGTGAAATTGCCAAAAGAGCTACAAAAGGATTTATAGAGCACACCCTAACTTTTACTAATGTTTAGAATTTGTTAAAGTGTATCTAAACCCGGCAACAAAAAATGTGTTCGCAGGGCTCTTTTCTTGACTAATTGGTAAACAGAGCAGCAAAAAGAAAGGTGAGTAAGGCAAGGGACAAAGAACAGATTCACTTGTGTCATAGACATGAATCTTGGTGAGAAGACAGCATACAGAATATTTTATTCAATCATTTATTATGCTGTTGTTTTGCATGTAAGATAATAATCAGGGCTGGGTCAAACCAGAACACAGTGAAGAAAGGCGTAGTCCATGTGCGTTTCCCACACCACGTACGAATGCACTGTTCTTGTGATCTGCATGCATGCGCCAATGTAATGTTCATGGAATAAAAAATGCAGATTGCAAACACGTGTGCACACGTGGTACCGCAGTAGCATGCGATTTGGTGTGGCGTGTTTTTAAAAGTAGTGCATGCATAACTGTTTCCGATGAGATCAAATGAATGAGCTGCAAAATCACAGCACACAGGAATGAGCAGGAATCGCATAGGAAAGCGTCAAGCGCTCCTTTGTGATCCCCGTGTAAACCGAACCTTAGAAAAGAGAAGAAAGGTTTTGTTATAATTTAAAATCTAAATATCAGGAAAGTACAGGAAAATCACCAGCGAGGCCCCTCTATTGTTTGCTCACTGCTGTGCTTCAATTATTATTTTCATGACACTTCCATAAAGCATAATTTTGCTCTATAACTAGAATACCATATTTTACTACAAATTACAATTTTTACTATTGTTCTGCGTGTCTGTAGGTTTACCAATGAATGATTGCCAGTATATTTCCAATTGTTTGCTTTTTAATAATACAAAAACATGACATAAATGAATGTAAAACACTCAACTGTGTATTTCTGGAACTACCATTGAGCTTATCTTATTGCCATCTTGTGGCAAAAATAGATACTGTTTGCAATCCAGACAGGAATTCTTCACATTCCAGAGAATAGGGAGGTTAAAAGGATAAATGCACCCTTAATTACTTGCCCTCCAGAGGATTTACCCCCCTTCCTGACCAGGCCTTTTTTGGTAATTCAACGCTGCATTATTTTAATTGGCAATTGCGTGGTCATGCAACGCTGTACATAAATGAAATTTATGTTATTTTTTTTCTCCACAAATTGAGCTTTCTTTCTGTGGTATTTTATTATTATTATTATTATTATAATACAGGATTTATATAGCACCAATGGTTTTGTTCAGCGCTTTACATTTTAGTGGGAGACAGTACAGTAACAATACAGTTCAATACAAGAGGGAATTGAGGGCCCTGCTCCTTGGAACTTACAATCTAGGAAGGAAGGGTGAGTGGTACAATAGGTAAAACTGTGCGGGATGGAGTGGTTGGAAGAGTAGAGGATTCCAGTATTAGCAGAGGGCGGGATAGGCTTCCCTGAAGAGATAGGTTTTCAATGATCGCCTAAAGGTAAGTAGAGTAGGTGATAGTCTGATAGATTGGGGTAGGGAGTTCCAGAGGATGGGTGACGCCCTGGAGAAGTCTTGGAGATGAGCATGGGAGGAGGAGATAAGGGAGCTAGAGAGTAGGAGGTCTTGCGAGGAGCGGAGAGGACGGTTTGGGTGATATTTAGAGATAAGATAGGTTATGTAAATTGGGGCAGAGTTATGAACGGCTTTATATGTCATTGTTAGTGTTTTGAATTTTATCCGTTGGGCAACTGGAAGCCAGTGGAGGGATTGGCAGAGAGGGGTGGCAGATACAGAACGGTTAGTAAGGTGGATGAGTCTGGCAGCAGCATTCATGATAGCCTGCCATGAGGTAGGCCAATGAGGAGGGAGTTACAATAGTCAATGCGAGAGATAACAAGGGAGTGAATAAGTTGCTTAGTGGTTTCCGAGGTTAGGAACGGGCGTATCTTGGAGATGTTGTGGAGGTGAAGTCTACATGATTTTGTCAGTGATTGGATCTGGGGCTGGAAGGACAGATGGGAGTCTAGGATTACACCTAGTACCCTGGCATGAGGGGAGGGACTAATGATTGTGTTATCGATATTTATGGTGAAGTCAGGGGAGGGGGCACGGGCTGGGGGGAATACTAAGAGCTCAGTTTTGGAAAGGTTGAGTTTGAGGAAGTGGAGTGACATCCATGCCGATATGTCACTTAGTAGGCTAGCGATGCGGGTGGAGACTGAAGGGGTGAGGTATTTGATCACTTGTGTATTTTTTGCGTTATAAACCAAAAAAGACCAACAATTTTAAAAAATAAAAAAATATATATTTGACTTTTTGCTATAAAACATATCCAGTGAAAAAATGTTTAAAATAAAGTTTCTTCACAAATTTAGGCCAAAATGTATTCTGCTCCATGTCTTTGCTAAAAAAATCCCAGTACGTGTAAAATAATTGGTTTATGTGAAAGTTATAGCATCTACGAATGGCGATATATACTGTGGAATTTTTATTTATTTTATTTTACTAGTAATGGCGTCGATCAGTGACTTATAGTGGGACTGCGGCGGGCATTCTGACACTGGGTGGGAAATCACTAACGGCCACTGACATCCCCAGTGACACTAATAAAAAGCACTAACACTGTACTAATGACACTGGACAGGAAGGGGTTAACATCTGGGGCAACCAAAGGGTTAACAGTGTGCTGTCTGTTTTACTGTGTATACAAGCTACTTTGTATTGCTCTGCTGTGCAGACAATACAAATAATCCTGTTCATGATGACAGGGGAGAGATCTGTGTTGTTTAAATACAGACCTCTCCCCTGTCAGCTCCGCTGACGATCACCAAGTCCTGGCCAAGAATCAGCGGCCGGGACCCGGTGGCTGGCATGCCAAGGAGCCAATAGCGGCACTTTTTGGTTGCATTTCCCCTACCCGGAAATGCAAGATCATATATATATATATATAGTATAGTATATATATATATATATATATATATATATATATATATATGATTTTGTATATCCCTGCCACCCTGTAGCAGTACTTCTGCTATAGGGTGGTCGGAATCGGTTAATAACATGTTACATGTTCCAACCATTTTTTGGGTAGAACATGTAACATGTTCCCACTGCTGGAGCTGCGGCTTAGAGTGACAGCTAGCAGAGCTCCGCCCACCCTGCTGCGTCATTCATTCACAGAATTCTGTAAATGTAGAACTACAAGTCCTGACAGCCTTTGCGGCGGTTGGCTTGTAGTTCTCAATGAACTACCAGGGTGCTGTTGAGTGCTCTAGATAGTTCATTGATGCTTTCTGTCAGTCAGTGTTGCAAACCGTCAGTAAATTTACAGTTTTTAAAAATCTGAGATTTTTACAACTTTCTATAAATATCATGAGCTGATCATTTGTCATGCTGTGTTGACTGTTGTAAGTATAAACCAGTCAAATTATGAGTACTGACCAGGGGTGGACTGACAACTTATGGGGCCCCCGGGCAATAGGGGATCATGGGGCCCCTGTGTCCTTGCCCAAACTCAAAAAAGCCTATGAAAAAGGTACCAGGGGCATCTCATGGGGCCCCTACTGACCCCGGGCCCTCGGGCAGTGCCCGAGTTTCCAAATGGTCAGTCTGCCCCTGGTACTGACAGTGTTCCCATATTGTGTATATACTGTATAACCTCTTCCTGTCTGGCCCATTGCCGATAAACAGCCGGACGGGAGTGCTACTGATGCCGGTGGACATTTCTAAATGTCTCCCCTCATCCATTGCCTGTGCGCGCTCCCTGGGAGCGTGCGGCACCGTGATCGGTGTCCACTGTGTCTGGAGGACACAGCAGAACACTGATCGCTGTACGGGACCTCTGTGTGAGGTCCCGATTCATGTGATCACTGATTGGCCAATCAGTGATCATATGAATAGTAGTAAACAAGATGCCACTTCCTGACATCATTGCTTACTAATTGTGAAATCTCTGAATGATCACAGAGGTCACATGGTACAGGGCTATTCACAACAGCCTTGACCAATCACAGCTCTCACAGTATTTCTCAATGGCTGCAGGAATGCAGCCAGAGAGAAGGAGAAATGGTTGATTTTATAGCCTTTAAGGGTGGAAAAGCAATCAGTGTAAAAAAAGAGAAAAAAATCTTCATCAACCCCCACAAGTAGTACAGAGTCACTATGGTGACACTGCACTGCTAGGGTGACAGTATGTATAAAAAAATACATAAATAATAATATATAATTAAAAAAATGTAGAAAAATTATAATTTTTGGTTATAAACTAATTTGGGTTATTATTTTTTTTTTTACTAAAAAGATAGATGACTACATTTTGGCCAAGATTTACAAAGGAAGATTATTTATTTGCAAAATTTTATAAGAAAAAACACTTTTATTTTAAAAATATTTTGGTCTTTTTCATTTATATAGCAAAAAAATAAAAATCCCAGTAGTGAATAAATACCACCAAAATAAAGTTTTATCTTTCTCCAAAAAATGCTAAAGATTTCATATGGGTACAGTGTTGCATGACTGCGCAATTGTCATTCAAAGTGCGATAGCACTGAAAGCTGAAAATTGGCCTGGACTGGAAGTGGGGGAAAGTGTCTGGACTTAAAGTGGTTAAATATTTATTTTCTTAGTTTTTAATGTAATTTTTCAGGTTGTGAGTAAAAGAGTGCTCCATCAGTAAATTTTCCATGTTATGTCAGTAAGAAATGCTGCGGGAAGTTGGCAACACTGCTGACACTGTGTATCTGCCTACCCATACAAGGTACGAGCAGACAGATACACTGACAAGTCTGCAGGAGTCCTGCATGGTACCCATGATCTTCTGATTGCGGGTGCAGTGCTTTCTAGGCACCTAGTAAAAAAAAATAAAACATGCAAATTTTTTTTTCCTGCAAAAAGATGTGCATTTATTATTATTTTGTTTAAAGGTGAACTTATCCTCTATAGGGAACCTGTACTGAAAGAAACATGGAGGCTGCCAATGCTGCCAACGCTCGATGACTGGCTGTTTCTAGGCTCTGCACTTTCTGGAACAAACATGCAGCAAGTATAGATGGAGGAAAGTAAAATGTCCTGAATTTCACACATGTTCTGAGTCAATGGTGTTGTTTTACTAAAGGCAAACAGGCCTTTGAAAGGAAAAAAACACATTTTTGCTTGTACATGACTGGATGATGGAAGTCAGTAGAGCGTCCCCTCATTTACTCAGCTTTTGGGCAAATTCCTTTGGAAAGTGAGCAATCTATTTGTCACCAAAAGTATTGAAGGCTATGAATTGATGTACCAGCCAGCCAAGTGGCATTTTCATTTGAGTTCAGCAAAGACAGCCTTTAGGCTCCGTTCACACCTATGCAGTTTGCTTTCTGTTCGTTTTGCAGTGCTTTCCACAGTTCATTTTACGTTTTTCTATATGAATTTTTGACGTGTATTTGATGCGTTTTACATTTTGTTTAGCTCTTTCTTTTTTTCAAGTGGAATTTTTTTTGCTGGCCAGAATAAAAATGCAAAACGCAATATGCGGCAAAAATGCACTACCATGCATTTCTGCTGCTTTTTGCTTTTAAAAAAGTCTGTGACCCTTTCCAGAAATGCAGCAGCTCAAAAAAAGCAAAGATGTGGACATGTTCCATAGGAAACCATGTTAAATGGACTGTAGTGCATTTCTGCAAAAAGCACTAAAAAATGCATTGGTGTGAATGGAGCCTTACATTTTCTCAGTTCATGGAAACCTGTCATCAGAGAAATATGGTGGCAGCATATCCTGACCTTCTGAAAATGGCCATTATCTGTACATGTCAGGAAAGTCAGAAAAATATTCTGGTTCAGTAACACAGAGTATAGAAACATGATGGTCAGCATTGCAATCAGGCAACTAGTATTTTTGGAAGAGATCAGCAATGGCAGCCTCCATGTTTCTCTGATGGGAAGCATGGTACCCTTTAAGGCCCCTTTCACACAGGGCAGATTCTATTGTGATCAGTAGGGGATCTGACCACTGATTCCCCATTGATTAGAGAAGAGAGGGCCGATGTCACATTGGTGTCTACTCAGTATCTGCAGGGAGGACACAAACAGAGCCCATTCTGCTCTATACGCAGCCAGGAGTAAATGGACTCCGCTGTACATTTTCACCCGGCTACTTCTAGTCCACTCCACCTAAACAGAGGAGGACAGAGTCCCCCTCCCATTTGTTTTTGTAGGCTTGATCGGACCCAGAGGTAGGTGGGTGTAAACAGACACAAGTCCGTGTATACCCACCAGGGACGGACTGACCATTTGGAAACTCGGGCACTGCCCGAGGGCCTGGGGTCAGTAGGGGGCCCCATGAGATGCCCCTGGTACCTTTTTCATAGGCTTTTTTGAGTTTGGGCAAATACACAGGGGCCCCATGATCCCCTAGTGCCCGGGGGCCCCATAAGTTGTCAGTCCACCCCTGATACCCACCTGTCCATAGGATTGCAAAGACTTTCCAATCAGGTCTTCCTGACAACCTGATAGGTGGACTTGATCAGAACGTGTGCCTGAAAGGGGCCCAAAGCATCACTATGAGACAAGAAATTATGTGGGAGGAGCCACTAAGCACGGGGGGACACAGAAGGGTGACACCCCAGGAGACTGAAGAAACCTCTAATGATGATTTCTCACTATTAGAGCGGTATTTGTTGGTGCAGGAAAGGTAAGTATTCACTTCTTTACAGAGACATCATTTTTGGGACTTTCAGTGTGGCAATAGTACTTTGTGTTCTGGTGCACTAAAACATGTGTGCTATAGCAAGGGCATTGGGGTTCTATAAGAATGAATGGAACCACTAGTGATGGGTCCACCGTGAACTTTGAACCAGGACAATTCACTAAGTGATATATTACCACATCTGTGTATGCGGTAAGATACCGCTCAGCTATTAAAATACTGCATGAGTCATGCGGTATTTTAGTAGTGAAAACATTCTTTAATGTTTCAGCTGTCAATGGGCTTCCCCACTGACAGCTGAATGTAAAAAGAATTGCCGGCAATTAAAAAAATTAACAAAAAGAACAGCAAGCCCCCCCCATCCTTACCAAGCCCTTCGGGTCTGGTATGGATTTTGAGGGGAACCCCCACGTCAAATTTTCTTTTTAAATGGAGTGGGGATCCCCCCCAAAATCCATAACAGACCCATATCTGAGCATGAAGCCCTGCAGGTCAGGAAAGGAGGGGAATGAGCGTGCGTCCCCCCTGAACCATGCCAGGCAACATGCCCTGAACATGACGGGGTGCTTTGGGGGACAAGGGCCTCTTCCCCACAGTTGTGGGGGTCTGCGGGTGGGGGGCTTATCAGAATCTGGAAGTCCCGTTTAACAGATCCCTCATATCCTGGCCCTCCCCCTATGTGAATGAGTATGCAGTACATGGTACCGCTACTCATTTACAAAAAAAAAAAGTTTAGTGTGAAAAATGACAGAAGACAGTCTTTGATAAGTTCTTTATTAAAAGCAAAAATGAAAAAAGTTCCCCCAAAGTAGATCCAACTTCAATCACAATGCCCGCCACCACTGCCGACCCGAAAAAAGAAATGCTATCGCCTACTAGCTGCTCTAGACTGACATTTCTTAAATATCTAAGGGGCAGGGCCACCCGGTGACGTCAACCAGGTGACCCTGCTCCCTTGTGATGTCATCGTGTGCCGTGATTCCTAACACACTTTATGTTCTAGGCTGACAAAGATGTTCTTCCATATTAGGACACAATGTTACTGGCAGGATAACCATGTGAAAATAAAGTTTAAAAAAAAAGCCAGAGAAAGGAAAACTAATACAGCCACGTCATATGGGGTAAGGTCTTGTAAGCTTCAATATTATATTTTTGTTCTTGGGTTTGGATACACTTTAACTGACTGTGGACTAAGAGAAGTTTCCACCTCTTTCTTGGAAGTTGTTCTTGGACTTAATATTCAGATCCAGAGGCCTCAAATTGTTATTGTGGTTGTAAATATACATTTAAAAAAAAAAAAATAACAAACAGGTTGCTATTTATCTGCTCTGTGCAATGGAATTTCACAAAGCAGCCCTGAACTGTCTTTTCTCGGGTCCCCCGCCAGAGCCCTGGCTCCTCCTCTCTGTCCAGTGTCCTCATAGGAAGCTGCTTCCTATGTGAGGCACTTGTGCTGGCTCACTCCCGAGCCCTGCTGTCTGCGTCCATTGACACAGACAGCGGAACTTGGCCCGCCCCTACTCCCTTGTCACTGTCTTTGATTGACAGCAGTGGGAGCCAATGGCTCCCAGTGCCCCAGCAAAGCCTGTGAGACCAGGGAACTGAGGGTAGAAGAGCTTCAACTGTGCACAGTGCTGGATTGAATGAGGGCTCAAGTAAGTAAAAGGAGGGGATGTGAGGCAGGATACTGATGTCTAAGAATGCATTAAGGTAAAAATGGTTAGACCTTATAACCACTTTAAAGAATATGTAAATCCTGGATTTCATATTCCAGATATGTGCCTGTTTTACCATTTACTTGTATGAAAAAGTATCCTGTTCTCTGTATCCTCTTCCTTTGTGTGAAATCCCTGGTGTCCCTGCCAGTCCCTCTACTTTCCTATGAAAAGCTGATCACACCAGGCATGAGAGCACACCATGGTCAGTTCTCTAAC